GTGTGTGTGTGTGTGTGTGCGTGTGTGTGTGTGTGTGTGTGTGTGTGTGTGTGTGTGTGTGTGTGTGTATGTGTGTGTGTGTGTATACAAATACATACAGTCCTGCAGACAGGCGTAGGTTGGTTATAGAAACCGTTACAGCATAATAGCTATGGTTATGAAAATCACGTCAATTGTAGTAATATCGATAACAACAACGATAAGAGTGATGTTAATAGATTCATTAATGATAAGAGTTACACCAAAACATAATTAACTACAATAATGAAAGAAGATAATGATGAAAAAAAGCTGAGAGAGAGAGAGAGAGAGAGAGAGAGAGAGAGAGAGAGAGAGAGAGAGAGAGAGAGAGAGAGAGAGAGAGAGACAGACAGAGACAGAGATAGAGAAAGAGAGAGAGAGAGAAACAGCAATGAAGATACAAATCTGAAATCTTAACAAAATACACCAACTCTCACTCCCTCCCCCCCCAAAAAATAAATAAATAGAATAAAGAAAATAAAACAAAAATAATAAAAAAGACATTAGACGCCACAACCACTAAACCAGAGAGAAAAATGTAGAGACAATTAACCTTGGCGAAGGAGAAAGAATGGTGCAGTTACGAACACAATTCTGGGCCATTATAACAGAGCGCTGATGCCTCCGTCGGATGTGGTTGACCGAATGCGGGGGCGTGCGGTGCGGGCGTGCACGCGCGCCCTCGGATTCATCCCAGGCACTTGGCTTCGGACTCTCTCGTTCATCTCTGTCTATCTGTCTGTCTGTTTAGCTAGCTGTCTAGATGTTTGTCTGTCTATCTGTCTGTCTGTTTGTCTGTCTATCTTGCTAGATATCTTTCTATCTGTCTGTCTATCAGTCTATCTATCTGTCTATATCATGCCTGTATTTTAGATACCTTTATAACGATGTTAAATAGATTCCACCGAAATGAAGGAAATTTGTCCTTGATACTAATAACAAAAAAAGTAGTATTTGAAAAGCCAAAAGAAACGCCATCCCTGTCTTTGCAACCTCGGGCGAGATGTCTTAGCAATAAACGTGGCAACATACCCCCCCCCCCCCGAGAGAATCCATGGCAAATCAAGAACGGCTTTGATGGCGATCAGATGCTTTGCGTTGCGTCATAGATTAGACGAATCGAAGCGGATAGGGAGTTTGAACTTCTGATTAGAAAAGGGAGGGTACAGGCGTCTATAGTTGTTGTCTGTGTGATGTGGGAATGAGAAAGAGAGAAAGAGAGAGGGAGGGAGGGAGGAGGAGGGGGAGGGAGGGAGGAAAGGAGGTAGAGAGAGAGAGAGAGAGAGAGAGAGAGAGAGAGAGAGACAGACAGACAGACAGACAGACAGACAGACAGACAGACAGACAGACAGACAGACAGAGACAGAGAGAGAAAGAGACAGACAACAACACACAGACAGCGAGGAAGAAAAAGACAGAGACAGAGACAGGGGCAGAAAGAAACAAACAGACATTCAAAGACAATAACAGAAACAGAGACAGACAGACCGAGACAGAGAAGGTAAGATGAAGTAATTAAACCCTTTCAAGTGTGGATCTTGATTTTATTACTGTTCACTGAAGAGGATGTAATAATAGCAATCATTTCCTCACTCTAACAACGAAAATATAAACAGTGTGTTTGTTCAGAAGAGGATACATCACGTTATGTGTAGTTGTAGAGAAAATAGAATGCAGAATCACACGCTAAATAAATCAATTAGTAAAGATTATTATTTCACCTTAATTCTGATAGATAGATGAAAAAAAAAAAATAGTTGAATATATATAGATGTCGATAAAAACGTATAGGTAAATATACACCACTAAAAGATAACTATTTTACACTAATTTTGATAGATAGATAAAAAAAATAGTTATATATATAGATGTCGATAAAAATGTATAGGTAAATATTTGAATGGATACCTATTTTAATAAAGGATTAATTAATTATTTGTTAATTTTCGTTTCTACAACATACAAGAGATCAGAACCTCAATGAAATCAGATTTAATAGCAATGTCATATTTAATTAGACTTGAATATTCGGCACTTTGTTCGATTACGGTATTGAGACACCTTGATTGTTTTGTTTTTCTTCTTCTTCTTCTTTTTCTTGCTCCCTGTCCTCTCTCTCTCTCTCTCTCTCTCTCTCTCTCTCTCTCTCTCTCTCTCTCTCTCTCTCTCTCTCTCTCTCTCTCTCTCTCTCTCTCTCTCTCTCTCTCTCTCTCTTTCTTTCTCTCTCTCTCTCTCTCTCTCTCTCTCTCTCTCTCTTTCTCTCACATTCATATCCACTTCTTACTTTCATAATATCACAGGTCGTAGAAAACAAGAGCACGAAACAGAAAAGAATTAATAGTCAAGTCGTGCATAAACTCAACAAAGATGCAACATTTCTGCAACACACGCTCACTCCCAGAGAACTTAAACTTTCCCCCCACAAAGAACACTCCACACGCTCCTCTCCCTCCACCCTCCCTCCTTCCCTCCTTCCCTCCTTTCCTCTCTCCGTCCCTCCCTCCCTCCCTACTTTTTTTCCTTTCCTCCTTCCTCCTCCTTTCCTCCTTCCTCCTCCTTTCTTTCACACCCTAGACTAGATTCCCCTCTGTTTTCCCTTCGTCCCTCCCTCCATTCTTCCTCCTTCCCTTCCTTCCTCCTTCCTTCCTTCCTTCCGCCCTCCTACGCTCCGTCCGTCCCTACTTCCTTTCACACCCTATGCTAGATTCTCTCTCTTTCTCCCCTCCTCCCTCCCTCAATCCCTCCCTCCCTCCCTTCTTCTCTCTTTCCCTCCCTCCCTTCTTTCACACCCTTTGTCTCTCCCTCTATCCCTTGATTGTAACTGATTCCCTTCCTCTCCCTCCTCTCAAAACCCCTCCCTCACCCTCCCTCCCTTTCCCCTCTCCCTCCACTTCCCTCTCTCTCTCTTACGCAACCTATACGAAGATTGCTACTGTTTCCCTCCACCTCTCTTCGTTTCCCTCCATACAGGCTCCCTTCCTACCTCCTAACCCCCAACCTTCCCCCAACCGCCCCTCCTCTTTCTACCTCCCTCCCTCCCTCCCCTCTTCCCACCCTCCTTCCCTTCCTCCCCTCTTCCCATCCTCCTTCCCTCCCTCCCTCAGTCTCCAGTCTCTCCACACTTCTCCCCACAACCCACGCCCCTTCCCCCCTCCCTCTCCTCTCCCTCCATCTCCACCCCTCCTACTCCTCCTCTCTCCTTCCCCCCCTCCCCCTCCCCTCCCTCCATCTCCACCCCACCTACTCCTCCTCTCTCCTTCCCCCCTCCCCTCGCCTCCCTTCCTCTCCATCCCTCCTACCCCCCTCCCCCCGGTAATCTGGACAGTCGTAAAGCATTATCGTCCGTCGGGCACTCCTGATAATGATGACACTATTTCCTCTCCTTAACGGCGCTACTCTCTCCCCTCCCCCCCAACCCCCCTCGCGCCTCCTCTCTCCCTCCCTCTTCCCCCAACACCCCTCCCCCCTCTCCCCACCCCCTTCCCCAATTCGCTCCCTTCCTTTTCCCCCCCCTCCCCAATTTGCTCCCCCCTCTCCCCCAACCCCTCACCTCCATCTCCCCCCCCCTTGTCCCCCCCTTTCGTTTGGATCCCCCGCCCCCCCCAACGCGACATCTCCCCTCCCCCATTCCTCAGCGCCCTCCTCCCCCCCTCTTTCTTTCCTCTTCCTCTCCCCCTCTTCCTTTTTCGTTCCTCTTCCTCTCCTCTTCTTCCTCTTTCGTTCC